GTCCCACAATCCCTAAGGCGGCACTGTCGATCCCAGTCTTTTCCGAGGAGAGCTTTTCATATTCTACTGATCTGCAGCAGTTTACTGCGAACTCCCCCGATGTATTTCTTAATCTTGTAAACGTTTTCAACACGTTCAGGCGTTTGGAAAATCAAATTTCTGAGATTGAATACTGTCATCGTAAAATTGGATTGTGCCCGAATAACTGAGGGAAGCGGGAGAGGGGAGACGGGAGGGCGAGAAGCGGGGGTTCTGAAAGGGGGTGGAGGCTGGAAAGAAATGATTTATCGGGAGCGGAAGCAACTCGGAAAAATGAGGAATTTGGGAGAGAAAGGTTCAGAAGGCGGGAGAACAGGATACAGGAAGTGGGAGGTTTTGACCCCCCCTATTCCCCCCCCCCCTTACCAAACCATCCACAACGAAAAAAAAGTTAAAACAGATGCAAACTAAAAAATTGTGACTTGGTAATGGTGCCTCGCGCGCAACACAGTAACATCGATCAGTAAATTACTTTTTTTTTGGCAGTCACTCGAAACGCCGCTTGGATTCCTTTTCTGGACTTTGTTCAAGGAAGTACCGTTCAAGTGGCAGCCGGAAGGTCACATTGGCACTTGGTTCAGCATCGGTGGGCTGGCCATCATGGTTCCCTCCATTTATATTTACAACACAGGGTAAGTGTTGTCCACCCGCTGTGATTTTAAAAAGAACCTCACCGTGTCAAAATGTAATGCGTGACCTCTCTGTGTGCATAATCTAATTTAGCTCATTTCGTACGTTTGTTAAAAGCAGGAGGTCGTCATGGAAAAGATTAGATTGCCAAACAGTACAAATCCGTATGTTTGCGTTCGTATGAAAGCACGTGATGTTTGAACGTAAAGTCTGAAGCGGGCGATGAAATGGAAAGTGAAACTGTGGGACTAGCAGACTCGCGCAATGCGTAAGATTCCGGACTACTTTTCATTTCGTGATGGTGCTTAAAACTAAACAGATTTCGGTGGTTTCTGAGAAAAGAAAGTATGGAGGTTAAAACCAAACAAATTTCCGTGGTTACTGAGAAAAGAAACGGTATCCGTATATTGAAAAACCGTTTGTTTCAGCGGTTAAATGAGGTGGCAGTTTTGCGGATAACATACGATCTAATTTTGATGGTTCGTTTGTCTGACCTCAGTGCAATTTCTTCGTACACGAAATTCACCTTCTGTTTTGTTGTCCCAAGTATTCATCGATTACAATAGTTCATAGAATCTCGAACATCAAGGAGTTACTATTCACTTACTTTATTATAGAATTAATGAAATCCAGCTACAATTTCAGCGCGATTTGGCTAAGAGAGTCAAGAAGTCCGGCATTGAAATTCGCATTAAGTTTCAAACACATTCGACACCTCTGCGATATCGCGATAATATATCGCCCCTAGATTACACACGCGGCGGAAAACCGCGAATTGAGCGCGACTAAAGTGCAGTTATAGCAAGTAGCACCAGAGAACGCGCAATACTGACATATGTAAATATGCCTTTTGGTTTTCACAACGATTGCACATTATCACTGCTGAGATTTCATAGGAGACTGTTATTGTTGTTGTTGTTGTTTATGCTGGTTTCGACTGAGCGTCGAATGTAATTGTCATCTTAGTTTGTTTTGCATTATTTCGCTATGTGATTGGCCTCTTTTTCAACCAGTGAGTACGAAAAACCAAACCAAAACCACTTGCTGCTACGCACTTTGCCGCCCTCGGCGCCCATTACGTGTAATTTCTCCAACTTATGATTCGTTTATAGCGTTACTTGTTTGCATCCATCATGATTAGTCAGAATATTTGCTCACTTTGGAAAAGACTGGGACCGAGTGGGCCACGCAAGCGATTGTGGGATTGTTTGGGGGGACGCTATTGCAAAGAAACAGTCCCACAGTCCCCCACACGGTACTCTCGATCCCAGTCTTTTCCAAAGTGAGCTGCTTTGGTTTTACGAAATTCATTTGGAACTCGCTCTAAAGGAGGCTTGTAGTCATTCATGGATAAACAATGCGATGGTTCTTGTATTTTGTTTTCTTTTTTCAGTGCGTCAGAGATTTCCGTGGCTCCTGACGAAACAGAGCATCCGTGGGAAAGAAATCACAGTGCCGATTCTTTTTCTGATCTCTACTACTCAGCCACCAATCCAGAAGAACCTCTACTCTCTAACAGCATCCAAGTAACCAGCTATAACTCCTTCAAAAACTCAGTTTCTTCGCTGGTGTAAAGATATTTTAAACCTGTAGCAAACCGTGGGAGAAAATTGAGCCGTGAGAATTCTCCACAAAAGTACGACAAAATTGCATTGAAATAGATACTGAATTAATTTTAGACCGACACAGGACTGTCTTCCAAGTAAATGGCGCCAAGTTGCATTGCGTAGCCTGTTCCAAAGAAATGAAGATGTATTGGATAGCCTGTGCATAGCTGCAGCAAAATTGCTCTGAACTTTTGCGGGCCCTGAATCTTACTGGCTTGTTCCTCATCGTTAGAGTGTACACAAACCAATTATTTTCATATACTTCATACACAAACCTCAAAATGCATGGTGACGAATAGCCTCGATCTATCTTAACAATGCTTTACTGGCAGGAACAGTGATCAGTACTTAAGTCAAATGGAACTGATGAATTCTAAGATTGTAAATGAGATGTCAACACAGATGACTGGGAATTAAGTTGGGCTCGATCTTGACCTGGCAACGAGCATGCGCGCTTTATAACTCTTTTCCTTCATTTTGATAGAATTTCAAGTGGTTTGTGGAGTATAGTTTTTGTTAATTATTATTTTCTGTTAAGAAAGGAGGTTCATTATTATTTGATCTGTCACCGATGTTTGCGAGTCGTTAGACATTTTTTAAAATTACTTCAAAAACTCATTGGTAATTCATAAAGGAAATACAATAGAAATTAATGTTTAATGATTGTCTTTATATCTGGTATAGACAGGGCTAAATTTTACGTCCGATTTTCGAGACCAAAATAACCCGTAATCAAAATGTTCCTGTAAGAATGAATAGATGTACTATAGCGCAATGGACAGAATACTGTTTACTGAGACTACAAAGAATACGCGTTAGTATGGCGGAGTTTGGGCAGGAAAATCATGCGAGGCCCGCCATGCCCGTGATGTAGCCATGTAACTCAAGTCAGAACATTCAGCGTTGGTAAGGTATTTGCTCAAATTTTTAATATTAAGACTAGCAGCTCTCAGGAATATTCTATATTTTAATTCTGATTTTATCTCAGCGAATATAGTAATTGTAAGTTGTAATTTTATTGTAAATAGTTCCCCACGATCCACATTCGCGTTCCGCGTTCCGAGTTCAAGGTTCCAAGTTTCAAGTTCGGGAAAATTTGTTAAACAAATACTCTCGAGCAATTTTGAGTATTTGTGGCATCAAACTTCATCGGATCTCGAAATCTCGACAGCCTTTGCGATCTCATTCACAGTGCATTTATTTCGGTGTCGAAAGCTTGCATGTTTTGGTCTTGGTCTCGGCGTCTCGGCGACATTCGTCACCCCTAATAATTGCAGCATCATTAGCTTTGAAAAGAGCAGTGTTATGGATTGCTAGCCTGAGTAAACCTCTGGAATCAAAATTAGACCTGATTTCCCATGGTAAACGAAAAATAACAGCCAAATTTTCTTCAAAACGGCTATTTTAGCTCACAAATGAAATCAATTTTGAAATGTTTTTGGCTACGCATAGCTAAGATAATAAAAGGCCTCTATGAGGACATGTGCTTACTGGTATTTAAATAGAATGATGTTGACAGTCAAACAAGACAGGGTAGGTAGAAAACGCGGGACCGGGCTCCCGGGGTGCGGGGTCTTGGGGTGCGGGGTCCCGGAGTGAGGAAAACACGGGATGTGGGGAACACAGGGTCTGTTGGAAAACACGGGGTCTGATGGAAAACACGAGGTCTGGTGGGAAGCACGCGGTCTGGTGGAAAACACGGGATCTGGTGGAAAACACGGAGTCTGAGTACAAAACACGGTGTCTGAGTGGAAAACGCGGGGTCTAAGTGGAAAACACGGGGAATTTTCCTCGCTAAAATGAGAAGCCAAAATTTTGAATTTAATGGTAAAGTAACACCTAGAATGGGTGAAACTCTGCCTTCAGTGGCAGAGTATTTTGATGTTTCAGTCCTGGGTTCACTTAACTTTATGTGCGTTGTGGCAAAATCAACGCGGCCGACAAATTAGCGCCCGCTTCTTTGTTTACTCAAATAACAAAAAAATCTATTTAGCTCACACTCAAGGAAACGTGAATTACTAGCACTTCGTGGAAATTTTGGTCACTATAACTAATGCTTTTAGTTTAAAATATACATATAGTGGAGAAAGCGTCACCTACTCGGTACGGCAGTGTTTTGACGAGCGAGATGTTTATAAAGTCGGTTTGGGTGTAACGTCTCGAGCATATGTTTTTAAATCCTGTGTTCTATTCCCCTCCGGCTCCTTATTTCTTATTTCGTTCCGCAGCCACTGAGCTTGTGCCTCTGCTCTGGTAGTCGCTGTACGTAATTGCAGCAAATAAGATGTCACGTACAACTTTTAGACTGCCTAAGCGCCAATATGGTAGTCGGTGACCTTATTACATTTGGGGCCAAATTGTATTGCATTTAAGGCCAAATTTAATTACATTTAGGACGTCCTTTATTACATTTAGGGACACTGATTTGTTACATTTGAGACCCCAACAGCGGCTAGTGGGGCCGAGCAAGTACAGAAACAAATAATTCAAATAAGAATTATTAATTCATAATATGATAAGAATCCCAACTGGCCAGAGGTAAGGCAATTGGCTATTTGCAAGAATGACCGAAAAGCTGAACCGGGGACTACCTAAGAACAACACCGGCTAGTGGCTAGAGCGAGCCGGGGTGACCGTCTTGAAATCCAGCACCCTAACCGCTCGGGCATCCTGCTTCCATCCTTTCAATTGGTGATGGCAGCGTAATATTGAGACCTAATCCGCTTTACTTAAATCACTTTCTGATGAATTCATGATCATTACATTACAATACAATAATGATTACATTACGTTACGTTACGTTGCGTTACGTTGCGTTGCGTTACGTTACACTGCATTACATTACATTTTGTTGAGTCTAAACACACTTGACTCAGTATTGACTAAATGCTACGAAGGACCATCTGAGAAATCATATGCCACGTGATTATTACATAAAAACCAACTAGCAATTACTAAACTATTAACGCCACGATGGGAATTGATTTTTATTTTATAGACTCAATTAGATGTATTCAATTTGAACTGTGTTCCCTCTGACACAGATGATTAAACAGGTGTTTATCTTCCCATTGCAAACATTGGTAGATAATTCAGCTTCCGCTTTGCGGTTTCCAAAAAATATGGAGACAATCGACTGGCAGTTACTAAAGTACTTACTCCGATGATGGAATTTTTATTTTATAGACTCAATTAGACATATTCCGTTTGAACTGAATTACCTCTGACACAGAAGATTCGACAAGTGTTTTTCTTCCTATTGCAAACATTGGTAGATAATTCAGCTTCCGCATTGCGGTTTAAAAGTTAAGGAGGCTTAAAATGAACAGACTAAAACTGAAAAATCGACTGGCAATTACTAAAGGGCTTATTACGCCATGATGGAATTTTATTTTATAGACTCAATTAGATATATTTCATTCGAACTGTGTTACATCTGACACAGAAGATGAGACAGGTGTTTTTCTTCCCGTTGCAAACATTGGTAGATAATTCAGCTTCCGCTTTGCACTTTACAAAAATTAGGGAGACTTAAAGTAAACAGACTAAAACTGAAAAATCGACTCGCAGTTACTAAAGTACTTACGCCATGATAGAATTTTTATTTCAAAGACTCAATTAGATATATTCGATTTGAACTGTATTACCTCAGACACAGAAGATGAGACAGGTGTTTTTCTTCCCATTGCAAACATTGGTAGATAATTCATCTTCCGCTTCGCGGTTTCCAAAAAGTAAAGAGACTTAAAATGAACAGACTAAAACTGAAAAATCGACTCGCAGTTTACTAAAGTACTTACGCCATGATGGAATTTTTATTTCATAGACTCAATTAGATATATTCGATTTGAACTGCGTTACCTCTGTCACATAAGATTAGACAAGTGTTTTTCTTCCCATTGCAAACATCGCAGTTTCCAAAACATATGGAGACTTAAAATGAACAGACTAAAACTGAAAAATCGACTGTTTACAGTTACCAAAGTATTTACGCCATGATGGGATCAGTTATTTTGTAGACTCAATTAGATGTATTTGATTTGAATTGTATTACGTCTAACACAGAAGGTGAGATAAGTGTTAATCTTCAATTTGCAAACATTGATAGATAATTCAGTTTCCGCTTTGCGGTCTACGATTAAAGAGACTTAAAAATTAACAGATTTGATTACAAAGCCGTTTGTGTAAAATTAAACAATACAATACGAACCGCTTGATTTGCTGGAATCGCCTTATCGCGAGGTAGAATATCCCAAAGCCGGCGAGCTTATTAATTAATTGAAAATTCGCACTTATGAAAATCTGAGTATTAAAACTTCCTTGTTTCGATTGACACATTTCCACAGCATTCGAAAGGGCGAATGGATTTAAGCGATATCGATGAAATAGAAAAGTAAGTTACGCTTTTGATTGCTTGAAAATTGTTTCATTTTCGTACTCTAAAGCAGAGACGGGGCAGAGGACTAATCAATGAGGATTTGCACCATCGGAAACACGTTTTCAAATGTTTACGCTGCCGCAGACAATTCGCTTGACTTAATTCCGCAGTACTGTCAAGGAAGCACATTGTTAAGTGCCATGCTGACGAGCGGATTATCAGTCATCCCTATTATACACTTCCTGCTTTTCTCCTTGTGAGGGTATAAATATTAGATTTGAATGTAGCCATACCACCAGTTCATTCGCGTGAGTGACTTTTGCGTGAACATCTTTCAACAGGTGAGTTTAATGGAATATTTAGACCTACGCAAAACGTAATTTTGCTTCAGTATTTTTAGAAACGGTAACCTCTCTGACTACGCAACTATTCCTTGTTACCGACGGTTTCGTTTTTGCGTGAATTGTGCGGTGGACCCCCTATTTTAGTGACCTATTCTAAATGCACGGTGATCCGCTTAGTATGTGCTAAATGGCTGGGATAGTCGCTCGGCTTCGTACTACGTGTAGCTAAGCAATTGTCGTGAAAAATGATCGTTGCCTACAGTTTTGGAAATTTATACGAAAAAGTAATTATTATTATTATTTTTTTATCGCCGAGTGAGTTACAGCTCTAAGAAACTTAGATTACTGCCTCACTTAGATTAGAATTAAACTGTTCATTATAATGACGGAAACCAACCTCTTCTGCCTTCGAAATTGATAAGAAAATTAAATAAAATGAATTATTTCTTTTTCTTGACCTGGCTGTGTAGACATATTTCTAAGCAATCTCGAATTTGACACTATGATCGAAATGAGACTAGGCGACAGAAGGATTACGATGATGTCGAACCGTCGCAACGAAATCGGAAAGCTATT